ATAGATAGCGATTTGAAAGGAAATTGACGAAGACAGCAAACCAGCTGGACCTTGGTTGGGCTTGTTGGGGGGCGGGGGTTAACTAAAGTGTGATTGACAAAATTTGTGCCATGGGTCTCGAACTTATACTTTTCGTGGAAAAATAGTTTCTCATATTAAAAATGGAGCAAGTGTAAGTTGGTCTTCAATATTTCATTATCTGCGCACAAATAGTTCTTGATGGCAGAAACTGTATAAATTTTCATAAATTTTTCGAGTATCTTTATGAAAATATTTTTCACTTAAATTTTCGATTACCCAATTCTAGTTAAAAGGGCAAATAATTTTGAACATGCAAGAATCACGCGACAATAAAAGATTTAGGCTTTCGTTTTGAACTAATTTTACAAGTACACCAAATGGTTAATTAGTCAACTTACTCTTTCTTATAAAGTAAGGATGAACTTGTTAATGAGATAATTGATTGAGGACATGAAGATATTTGCAAAAGGGGAAGGAATCATTTGATGTCTCCATTACTATTATCCATGAATAAAGCTACGTGTTGACAATAATCTATTGTCAAACTTCAACACGTGACGTAGAAAACAGTTTTTTAAAATGAATGAATATGATGATACCAAATAGAATATTGTCTACCTGTACATATAACATAATTCATTATTTGTTTTGTTCAAAATTATCAATAAATTATGAAATTATTCTAAAAGACGAAAGTGACATTTTGACCTTTTTTATCACAATATAACTCTTAATAAAATTAACTTGTCCAAACATTTTTGATCATTTTAGAGTTGAGATTTATTATTTCGCCCCCAAAATCCTCTCCAAAATTTAATTTCAGATATTCACTTCCTTTAAAAGTCGTCTTAGCACCTACTAAGGTTTCATTTTTTTAAAAAATTATTTTCAACCATACATTTTCTTATAAAATAATTTTACATGTAAAACCATATTATTTTCTTATTTTTTAATAATACATCCTCCAAATAATAATTACTCTAAAAAAACATTTTCTAAAAAAAAAATGATGGTCAAACAGGGCTTAATTTTACATAATCGCATGTTTTGTATAAAAATAAAAAACAAAGTAGGAAAC